TACTCCTGAGACATAACTCTTTCAGTTTTCACTGGAAAGTACAAGGTGTTTATCAACTACCTATAGATCTATGAGATTCAAATTCTAATCTCTGTTCCTCATGTGACAGACAGCAGCTGAAATCTCTGCTCAACTTTTCCAGGCTCCCAGCTGGTGTTTTCTACCAGTCCCTTGGAATATCCCTTGAAAATGCACATTTCAGGGATTAGGCAAAGATCTGAGGAAACTTCGTATGCATACTGTACGATGGTTTGTTCCATAGCTTCTTGTTTTTAAGATTTCTGACTCTTTCTAATACCTCAAAACAATAAGACTGTATTTCATTTGTGTTCTAGCCACCTTAAAAAGCGTGGATTCTTAAGTAACCATAGATCTCACCAGTACCATTTAGTTCTTTCAAGAACTGAATAACTTCCTCTAGTTTTTGCTGCCTTTTGGTCACTCTCCAGTGTGTGTGTGTGTGTGTGTGTGTGTGTGTGTGTGTGTGTGTGTGTTTGTGTATGTATTTTTTAGTCCAGATTTATCATTGATATCTGTTACAAGCTACTCCACCATTCCTATAATTGGAACTTCATCTCACTAATGTTTGCTGGGCTTTCTGTTTGGGTTGGTAGGCAGGACCGATCACTAAGTGATGTATCTTGGTCTTCAAAATCCCAAAGCTTTAACTTCCAAATCAAAATAGTCTTAACTATACAGATTTATTTATTTATAACTTCAGACTTGGAGCTCTGGTTATTCAAGCACCAAGCTCAACAACCCAGTACTGAATTGACTCTTCTGGCTAACTATATATATGGATATATTGGTAAATTCCATATTACTTCTTTTTTTCCTTTTCAGAAAATGACTGTTGATTTTCTTTACATTATTAAGAAATTCACCTCAGCATTTCTTGGAGTTAGAAAAATATGGCATTTGGCTTTAATTTTCACTAAGTCCTTCTGGCCAGGTTTCCTGGAATTGTTCCATGACTATTCCAAGTCCTAACTGAAAACTATGGCTGGAAGGGATAAATGGTAGATTCCCGGTGCTACTGGTTGTCCCCAAATAAGTGCTAATCCTGGAGCCAAAAGAAACACAACCCCTTGCCTGCTTTGAGGGGTATTTTTAGAGTAGTTGCAAAACATAATATTTATCTTGAGAGAAGGCCAATATTTTTAAATAGCTAATAAGCAAATGCATTTATAAAAATATATTTCTCCATTGTAAAAAATACTGTGCTCACAGAAGAATCACAGAACCCAAGAATGGACTAATAGTTACCAAAGGGAAAGGGACTGGGGAGGATGGGTGGGAAGGGAGGGACAAGGATGGGGAAAAAGAAAGAAAAAAAAATATTGTGCTCACTTCATTCTATTTTTGCTATGGAGAGTGCTTAAATAGGGAAGAAAAATTTTCTCTGATCCCTTCCTGTAAGCTGTGACAATTGGACAAGCCTTACATTCTTACCCAATAATTTTCATATACTGATCTCATTATTTCTTCCTACAAACAAAATAAATTCTTCAAGCTTTGCCTCTTATGCTACATTATCCAGATAGTTTTTTGGTGAAGACACTGAAAAGGATTTTAATTTCCTCGCTAGAATATAATGCTTTTAGTAAAGGATCACTTTCTTGTTAAGTGAAGCAGTAACAATTAAGAGAACAGCCCTTCCAATGTGAACAGTTCCCAGGAATGTGTTGTTTTAATGTGTCTGATCTTTCTCAAAATATTCAAATTCAGTTAGACAATATCCATCATATCTTTGATAATCTTTCACAAATGCCTAGGGTGCCTAACTGGTTTTCTTGGTTTCACTGGAGATGGCTGGTAATTGTAGGTCTGCTTTGGTTATGTAGCTGTATTCCTATTATGTTAATGTGTGCACGCAATTTAATTAGTAATTTAAAACCTATACACGCTTATGTTACACTACAAGAAGATATGTCAAAGAAATAATCAATCTTCCCATGTTTCCCATGTTTTCTTCCGTCTGCTACTTCTATAGCTTCTCATCTTCCTTCATAATTACAACCCCTAAGTAGAATTCGTGCCTCATACTGAAATTACCGAGTATCATAATTCTTCCAAGTGGTAAAGATACCTCAAGACAAATGCTGGGCATAGAAGCCACAGGGCATAAA